CATATCTAAGTCATATCACAATTATAGAAGATGTTAAAAATAATTTTGGAACACATACCAGTAACATTTATACAAATATGCCCCAAAGAAAGCCAAAAACCATTTCATATTTGATGATGCTTCCTGTATCACTTTTATACCAAATATGCCAAATGTCACACAGTTGTATTAGTGCATTACAGATGTCAAACCCAATTCTTAATAAAACCTTATTTAAGCTTTTTAACCTTGAAAAAATTATTTATTTTTATAACTTTACTTATGTCTTTTTATTTATTTTTCTGGTTCCTTTTACCTTGTTTATACATAACTTTTAAATAAGCTTTTAATTAGGCAAATCTCGTTCACCTTTTTTTTTTTTAAAAAAAGGACACACTTTTTTTTTAAGCAAGACTGTTTTCCTACAAGATATATTTATTTAAAAATACCCAAATAATGAATTCTCTATAATTTAATGTGACTTTATATTCTAAATTATGACCAGTTTGTCTGTATTTATCCCATTACATAATTATTTCATTTTAATTGTTTATCTAGATTATTTATCAAAACTCTGATAGTCATGATTTAAGGTTATGAAACCGCTATTACAAAATTACAACTGCGACAGTGAAAAATGATTTAACCTAACTGACTCCACCTTGCTCTTAACCTCCAAGCTGTCCTTGTTCATTCCTGGGCACAGGCCAAACGAACTTTGGGAGGAACCTAGTTTATAGTTTAGCTTTGAAACAATGACAACAACAGTCATTTTCTGAAACAAACCTCCTTATTGTCTGTGGACTAACTGCCTAAGGCCATAGGATTAGAATTTATGGTAATCTTACTAAATTCAAGGTGCAGCTATTTTCATGAAACCCATATCAATTTATTAAAAATTATACAAGCAAAGATAATTCTGTTTTGGGCTGGGTTTGTAGTTTTGTAATCCCTATGCCAAACATTGACACTTTATGGCATTTGTCAGAGGTTTAAGTATAAAATTCCTTGATAAATATAATGCAAACAAAAAAGTACACCAGAAATTCTTAAGACATTTCTAGTATTACTTTACCAATAATTTTAAAGCTAGTTTATTTATTAAAGATTTCACTGGCCGGGCGTGGTGGCTCAAGCCTGTAATCCCAGCACTTTGGGAGGCCGAGGCGGGTGGATCATGAGGTCAAGAGATTCAGACCATCCTGGTCAACATGGTGAAACCCCGTCTCTACTAAAAATACAAAAAATTAGCTGGGCAGGGTGGCACGTGCCTGTAATCCCAGCTACTCAGGAGGCTGAGGCAGGAGAATTGCCTGAACCCAGGAGGCTGAGGTTGTGGTGAGCCGAGATCGCGCCATTGCATTCCAGCAGCCTGGGTAACAAGAGTGAAACTCCGTCTCAAAAAAAAAAAAAAAAAAAAAAAGATTTCACGTAAGTTACATTAACTTGAAAAGCATTTGACTAATCTTTTCTATCTGATTTAGTCATTTTTATTTTTCTTTAAGCCAATTAGAAGTCTTTTATGTATTTTTAATACTAAAACATTGTGTACACAACACATAGATACATATAAGGATATATTAGGCATGCCAATAAAGTGCATTTATAGATTTATAAAGCCCCTACCCTTTTTTCCCTATCTTAGACTTCCAGATTCTTGATAACCTGTTTTACAACATTAGGCAGGTGTCAGCTAAATAGCCTTACATTTGCACATTAAAGGAAACAACCCAGGTGAAAATCAAATAGCCAAATTTACATTATAAGGTACAGAGAAAAAGTCTGGTGGTGTTAGAGGGAGATGCTTTTATTTTTCTTTGAGCCAAATTAAACATAAAATTAAACGACATTCTTCCTTAACCCAAGAGAAGCCTCTGTTGCAATAACTGTTAGTCAAAAAATCTGGTGAAAACACAATTCAGTCAACTGAGAAGTAAAAGAAAAAAAAAAAACTTGCTACAAAAAGAGACAAGGTCTTAGAAGAGAAAAACAAAAAACAAAAGCATGAAGGCCTTTCCAACACAAGCATGCACGCACACATCTTGGATGTTAGAGTTTTAATTAAGCAGACTTTTAACCATTGAGGTCCTTAAAAAACTTCATAAAAATCTTATTAATGTTGCATTTGCTCTTTTAGCCACTGGTCTTTCAGTTTGGTCTGGCTCCAAAAGGTAGCCTTCTTATGCAAATAAAACCCCTATAGTAATTAAAATTAAAAATATTTTCTTTTTTTTTTTTTAAGCTGGCTGTTTTCCTCCCACTTCAGAGGCTTTGTTCCCCGTAATTTAGGGTTCCCCTTTGGATTTGACCAAGACAGAAACAAATAACAAAACACTTAAGCCAAACTAACAAGGATCACACAAAGTATAGAATTTCTGAGCACTCTAAGTGTAAGCAGAAATTAACACCAGCTGGTTGTTAAATGCTAACTTTAGTCATTTAAAAAATTTGCAAGACAGAATCCCAAAACAGTTTCTTACCTAGTTTGGGTCTGGGGTGCGAAAGTGATGGGTCTCAGGCTGTAGACTGCTCTCTATCATCCTAGAAGCCGGAAGAAAAAAAAACCCACTGGAAGCAAGTTCAAACTCCATTAAAATCACCTGTCTTCCATCATCATGGAAGCAGGAAAACTTGCCTTCCTCGTTGGGAGCAAGCAAAACTGCAAAAAAAAAAAAAAAAAAAAAAAAAAAAAAGAGGAGTTGTACAGCAAAATACACTTTAGATCTCTACCAGATTTTAAGAGATCAGGGATTTTCTGGAGGGAATCCTCTCGGACTTCAACAAATTGCCCTATTGGTCTGAGCCATAAAGTTAGCTCATGCTGGCACGGAGCACTGATAGATTTGTCAAGGGTCAGGGGCATCTCCACTCAGAATCCATTCATGGTATCTAAAATGCGATCCCAGAAAATACGAGACAGGCGTCAATGAATTTAGAAAGTTTATTTTGCCAAGGTTGAGGACACACCTGTGACACTGTCTCAGGAAGTCCCGACGACATGTGGCCAAGGTGGTCGGGGCATAGTTTGGTTTTATACATTTTAGGGAGACATAAGCCATCAATCAATATATGTAAGAAGTACATTGGTTCAGTCAGTCTGGAAAGGCGGGACAACTTGAAGTGACGATAAGAAGACTGGAAACCAGGAAGGGAGCTTCTAGGTCACATGCAGGTGAGGCACAAAGGGTGGCATTCTTTTGAGTTTCTGATTAGCCTTTCCAAAGGCGGCAATCATATATGTATCCGTCTCAGTGAGCAGAGGGATAACTTTGAATAGATTGGAAGGCAAGTTTGCCCTAAGCACTTTCCAGCTTGAATTTTCCTTATTCTAGAGCCCCAAGATATTTTCCTATCATAGTTGACATCCCCAACGTGATAGTGTTTGGGGCTCAGGAAAAAGATACCCTAAAATAGGGTGCTTTGGCATGCCAGGTGCTTTGAATAAAGGAGACTGAAGGGCCTCAGAAATAAGAGAACCACGGTGTCTCTCTGATCCACTCCTGCCCACTTCACTTCCCTTCCAAAGCACAAGGGAGGGGCTTTCTTTGAAGCTCTCTTATTTGATTAAGGGAAGTTTCTCCAGAAGGAAGGCGATTGTCCTGGACACCATTTACTAGAATCTACACCAATCAGAGAAGATTAACTCATATTGCAGAACAGGAAAATAATTAAAAGTTGCTAAAAACACCACACCTAGATAGATTTTTTTTTGCTTTTTCTTTCAACTATAGTTATATGTCCAATAACAATGTTTTGGTAAACTGCATATACAACTATGGTTTGATAAGATTACAGTGAACTTGAAAAATTCCTATTGCCTAATACACTGAAGGAAGAATTTTTTTTGTTTTTTTGAGATGGAGTCTCGCTCTGTCACTAGGCTGGAGTGCAGTGGCGTGATCTTGGCTCACTGCAACCTCTGCCTCCCAGGTTCAAGTGATTCTCCTGCTTCACCCTCCTGAGTAGCTGGGACTACCGGTGTGTGCCACCATGCCCAGCTGATTTTTGTATTTTTAGTATAGACGGGGTTTCACCATGTTGGCCAGGATGGTCACGATCTCTTAACCTCGTGATCTGCCTGCCTTGGCCTCCCAAAGTGCTGGGATTACAGGCTTGAGCCACCGCGCCCGGCCCAGAAATTTTTAAAAAATGTATTTAGGGTACCTTAAGTGTGCTATGTTTATAAAGCCTACGGTAATATACAATAATGTCCTAGCCCTTCACATTCACTCAGCACTCGCTGACCCTTCCGGAATAACTTTCAGCCTCGCAAGCTCCATTCATAGTTAGTGCCCTATACAGGAGAGCCAATTACTATCTTTTGTGCCATATTTTTACTTTCCTATTTCTGTTTACATATGTTTAGATACACAAATGCTTCCCTTTGTGTTGCAATTGCTTGCAGCATTCAGTAGTCACATGCTGTCCACGTGTGCAGCCTGGGAGCAATAGGCTCTCCCATCTAGCCTAGGTGCGTGGTAGACTATGCCATCTAGGTGTGTATAAGTACACTCTGCGATAATCGCACCACAATGCAATTGCCTGATGACAAATTTCTCAGAATGTAACCTTATCACCAAGAGATACATGACTAAGGCTGGGAGTGGTGGCTCACACCTGTAATCCAAGCACTTTGGAGCCCAAGGTGGGCGGATCACCTGAGGTTGGGAGTTCAAGACCAGCCTCACCAACATGGTAAAACCCCATATTTAAAAAAAAAAAAAAAAAAGAGATACATGACTGTATTCTTCTTCTTCCTCCTCCTCCTTCTCCTCCTCCTCCTTCTTCCTCTTGTTCCTCTTCAATGAAGTCTTGCTCTGTCACCCAGGCTGGAGTGCAGTGGCATGATCTTGGCTCACTGTGACATTTACGTCCTGGGTTCAAGTGATTCTCCTGCCTCAGCCTCCGAAGTAGATGGGATTATAAGTGCCCTGCCACCACGCCTGGCTAATTTTTATATTTATAATAGTGACAGGGTTTGTCATGTTGGCCAGGCTGGTCTCAAACTCCTGACCTCTGGTGATCTACCTGCCTTGGCCTCCCAAAGTGCTGGGATTACAGTCATGAGCCGCTGTGCATGGCCAATGACTGTATTCTTCTAAGGGCTGTTACCTGAGAGACTTTATCTGTGTAATAAGACAAACTTTGCTCACCACATGCTTCCTCCTCCACCCCCTCCCAAGGCTTGTGTCACTACCTCCCCACTTCCCCATCAGCAGCCCCTTTTCCTGTAGCTTGGGGTGCTATTTAAGCCTCCACCATCTGGCTCACATTAAAAAATTTGTAAGGCTTTTCTCCTGTTAATCTATCTATTGTCAGCTTGTTTTATAGATTCAAATTCTTAAACCTTCAAGGTCTAGAAAGGAAGTTCCTTCTGCCCCTCCAATAGTATAAAGAAGAGGAGCCTTTTGGTAGGTGACAGAGTCATGAGGACTCTGCCTTTAGGCCATGGAATTAATGCCTTTATAAAAGAGGCCCAAGGGGGCTTGTTTGCCCCTTCTGTCATGTGAGGACACAGCCAGATGGTGCCATCTGTGAAGCAGAGAGTGAGCCTTCACCAGATAGGAATCTGCTGGTGCCTTGATCTTGGACTTCCCAGCCTCCAGAACTGTGAGCAATACATCTCTGTTGTTTGTAAATTACCCAGTCTAAGGTATTTTGTTATAGCAGCACAAACAGACTAAGACACTTGGCAAGTGACATAACGTCCCTGGCTTAGTCATCTTTGGTGGCTATCACAAAATAGTAACAAACTACTATTGGGTTGCTTACACCATGAAATGTATTGTTTCACAGTTCTAGAGGCTGGAAGCCCCAGACTGCACTGTTGACTCATTTACTTCCTTGTGAGGGCTCTCTTCCTCTGCCTTGCAGACGGCCGCCTTCTTGCTGTGTCCTCAGGCAGCCTTTCTTCAGCACGGCTGTGCAGCAGGGGTGGGGAGGTCCTCTTGTGTTTCCTCCTCCTCTTATAAGGAAGTCAATTCCATCACATTAGGACCTCACCCTGATGGCCTCATTCCACCCTAATTACCTCCCAAAGGCTCCATCTCTAAATACAGCCACATTTTGCTTTAGAACTTCAACATATGAATTAGAAGAAGACAATTTAGTTCCTAACTCCCCCTGTGGTTCAGTGTCCTCTTTGTTAAACTGGGAAGACTCGGCTGGGCACAGTGGCTCACGCCTGTAATCCCAGCACTTTGGGAGGCCAAGGTGGGTGGATCACTTAAGGTCAGGAGGTCAGGAATTCAAGACCAACCGGTCCAACATGGTGAAACCCTGTCTCCACTAAAAACGCAAAAAAAAAAAAAAAAAAAAAAGCAGGGTGCGTTGGCATGTGCCTATAATCCCTGCTACTTGGGAGGCTGAGGCAGGAGAACTGCTTGTACTCAGGAGGCGGAGGTTGCAGTGAGCCGAGATTACATCACTGCACTCCAGCCTGGGTGACAGAGACCCCGTCTCAAAGCAACCAAACTAACAAACTGGGAAGACTCTTTTCCCGGCACATGGGCCTTAAGAAGTGTTGAGGGAGAAGCAGAAGGCATGCCCACGTGTGTCCAGGACAGGCACCCTCATCTCCAAAGATGTACTTGATATTATTTGGACCTCCAAGGCCATTGTATACCCATGTCCTGAGGAGCAGTCATGTAAACATGACATACACACAGACACACACACACAGACACACACATATCCACACATGCTCCCTTAACCCCATCTGGTAAGCCTCAGTTTTGCAGATCCCCGTTAAAGCCTTCCCCGGCCCTCTGGCCCTTGACCTCACTTTCTGCTGCAAGCTCTGGTAGAGCTGGGTGAGTTCTGTGAGCTCCCTCTCCAGCTCGGAGGCCTTGGCTCTCAACTCTTCCGCCAGCTTTGCCCTTGCTCCTTCCTTCAGGTGCTTCCATTCTTTGGAGAGAGTGGCCAAGTCAAAGCCAAGGGAGACGACAGCCATCGTCCCTCCCAGCATGAGAGCACGTTTGGTCATTGCCAGCGTTGTCCCTGCAAAGGCCTTTTGCACCCGTGCGGTGCTCCGGGAGGAGACTCTGCCAGTGGTCAGAAGACGCTTGGCGGCGTTGGCCAAGTGTGGGTTGGCTCTGACTTTCTGAAATGCACGGACGTTTTGTTTGGCGTGCTTCACGGCGTTGTTAACGTTAGAGATAACCTTTACAGCGGCCCCGAAATAGTCCCCCTTCTCTTTCTCAGCTTCCTCGTCCTCCTGGTCATGGGTGGGCAGTATGTCTTCAGCCCGAGCTTGGGCTTTTTTATTTTGGGAGTGCTCCAGCGTATCGGTCACAATGCTGGTGACCGAAGCTGCTGCCGCCAAACCTTGACCAGCGGCGGAGAGTAGCAGGCTTCCTCCTCCTGTTACTGGGGCAAGGGCTAACCCCAGGAGGCTCACCACCCCAGAGATGACAGCAGTGGAGTTGGCCACCAACTTAGTCCCGGTGAATTTCTTGTGGATTTTGTCAATATCCTCTGCGAGGGCACGGAGCTTCTCAATGTTCCCTTTTACATCTTCTCTCATTCTGGGAAATTCTCTCAAAAATATTTTTTCTTCGGGGGTCAGATCTCCTTCCTGTAGCTCGACATCTTCACACAGAAAAGCATCATCTTTTTCCCTGAGGAAAAGTGAAATAAAGATTTTGCTTCAGCTTCCCAGCTGGGAAAATCCACGTGGCTCCTGGATATTCTCGCCACTCTCAACTTTGAATCCTCCCTGTACCTCCCTCCAAAATCCCCTGAAAAGTCTCAGGGCGTCGTAGAGGAGTTTCAACGTTGGCTGAAAGCTACTGATTCCATGGAGGAAAGAAACACATAAGAGGGGCATGTGGAGGGACAAGTGTGAGTCACTCCAGCCTTGGCCAAGGAATGGGGAAGGCAGATTAGTCCTGAGGCATGTTTTCAGCCTTGTTCACAGAAAGCAGGGCACTGCTGCAGAGGAGGGGCAGTAAGGAAATGTTAAAACCCTACTCAAGATAAGAAACTTGGGAAGGCAGGGAGCGGTGGCTCACGCCTGTAATCCCAGCACTTTGGGAGGCCGAGGCGGGCGGATCACGAGGTCAAGAGATCGAGACCATCCTGGTCAACGTGGTGAAACCCCATCTCTACTAAAAATACAAAAATTAGCTGGGTGTGGTGGCGTGCATCTGTAGCCCCAGCAAGAGAATTGCTTGAACTTGGGAGGCAGAGGTTGCAGTGAGCCAAGATTGCGCCACTGCACTCTAGCCTGGCACCTGGTGACGGAGCGAGACTCTGTCGCAAAAAAAAAAAAAAAAAAAAAAAAAAAAAAGAAAAAGAAAAAGAAAAAGAAACATGGGAACAACGGCCAGAGAAACCTGGGAAAGTAGGAGAAAGAGAAGACAAGTGGTGGGATGACAGTCCCAGATGTGTAGAAGTGAGTGGGAGACTGGAGGGGGCCATACTGCATCACGCATCCTCCACTCTGATGACCTTGAATTTGGCTACCATGGGGTGTACCTTTGCTTCCATCAGAAGCTGCACATTGAGAGTTGAGATAAATTATTATTCATGTCCTGAATGCTCTCGTTGCTCTGGGTCAGCTTTCCTTGACCCTGCGAGCAGATGGGATTGGTCCTTCATGGAGGAAGTTTGGGACAAAGAGACCCAGGCCCCTCTTCCTCCAACATTTCACAGGACGAAGTAGGAAGGGACCTTTGCCAGCCCAGTTGGCTTTGACCTTCAAGGGAGAGCTGCATCAGGGTGAGAGCAAAGCCTACTGCTTGGGGCATTTTCTCATGCAAGGTGAGGCTTGTGCATTTCCTTCAGGGTGAGCCCGGGGGCCTGGTGACCACAGATGCCCTGGCCCAAAGGAGAACATCAGAACTGGAGGGAGCCCTGGAGAGGCTCTGGGCCGTCTCCTTTACGATTCAGTGGGGTCCTCAAGCCCAGGGAGAAAAGAGGACGCTCCCAAAGGAACACGCTAGGTAAAGATGAAGCTTTGTGTGGGCTCTGAGACCTAAGCTCGCTGCTTTCTGCCCTTCCATTCACCTGTTAGTTGATGGCAAGGCTTCCTCGTTGACGTATATGTCTGTCCATAAAGGTATTTATCTTTTAAATCTCTCTCTCCACACCCACACACACAATTCCTCAATGGGAAAGATTAGAAACAAAATAGACCATTGAGTGTATGTTTTAAGTATTAATGAATTAATAAATCTGGGCCCAGTTATCCATTAACCCACAGATGTGAATCAGTTAACAGAGCAGGTCACCAAGGCTTGCAGTGGGGAAGGGGTGGGATGAAGGCAAGGAGGGTGGCCCTCACAAAGAACCCTAGACTTAAAAGATGCCATAGATTAGCCCACCTTATCCCTCTGTTCCCTCAAGGAGTGCTGGGCAAAAGGAAACAGCCAATAGATATACAGCGGCCAAGATCAACACCACCACCGTGTATTAACTGTAAGATTTTGGTTTTAGCGGGGTTGATAACTACCGGAAGCTTGACTTTGTGTGTTTCTTAATTAAACCAAGTATCTCGCATGTGGTTATCTCTGCCCCAGTACATCCTGTATCCTCTGGTGATGCCTACTGGCCCTGGGTAACATTCGGTCCAGTTCCATGAGATACTACACATAGAGTTCCCCAAATTCACTCAGCAAATATTTGTTAATTGCACACACTCTGCAGGTGGCTGGCGGTGCCACGTCTGCTGATTTACAGATAATTGGGCTTAAATTCATTAACTTGTTAACACCAAAGGACTTCCTCCGTTGGTGGCATATGAGCTGAAGAAATGGAGTTCCTGCCTTGAATAGATTTACAGAGCTAAGGCCCCAGAGTGGAGCAATTTCTGTCTTTGGAGTCCTACTGCTCAACGCCGTGTGCCTGACTCCATCTTGACTTGCTCTAAAAAATATTTGCTCTAGCTCTGTGAAGTATTTTTTCCCTAGGGGAACATATTTTCTTTTTTTTTTTTTTGGAGACAGAGTTTCGCTCTTGTTACTCAGGCTGGAGTGCAATGGCGCGATCTCGGCTCACCGCAACCTCCGCCTCCTGGGTTCAGGCAATTCTCCTGCCTCAGCCTCCTGAATAGCTGGGATTACAGGCACGAGCCACCATGGCCAGCTATTTTTTTGTATTTTTAGTAGAGACGGGGTTTCACCATGTTGACCAGGATGGTCTTGATCTCTTGACCTCGTGATCCACCCGCCTCGGCCTCCCAAAGTGCTGGGATTACAGGCGTGAGCCACCGCGCCTGGCCGGGAACATATTTTCATATGCACAATGGAGACCAGTGGGAAGATAAGGCCCACTTCGCAGCTAATGCTATCAGAGCACATGTGTTCCTTGCCGTGAGGATGCTGGCAGCGTTTCAACAGAACCAGCCCTCTCCATGGGGACCACGCTCTTTGGGTTACCTTTGCAAACCAACACCAGCCTTGCATTCTTTCTCTGCCTGGTTGTCCAGCAGCCTCTGTGGCACCAAATCTGTGTCCTTAGGAGTCAAATGATTTTCTGGACAGGAATGCAGAAAACAACGTTACTGCACATACGATGAAACCTGATGAAATTCAGGTGTGGAGGGACTCTGGATTATGCGGCATAAAAATAACAACCACATCGCACGCTAAATATTTGCAAACGATTATTTTAAATTGTATGTTGAGGTGTAGCTTACACATAATAAATGCATGTAGTGAAATACTCAGTTCAATACATTTTGACATCTGTATCGGAGGGTAGCAGCATACACACCCCAAAATATGCCACTTCGGCATAAGGATTATTTTGAGCCAAAGGCAATTGAGAATAAGTGGGTACAAGAAAAGTTCCCCACCCTCTCCCTATTTGCCTAAAAGCAGGACATAAATTTACAAAGGTCAAAGTGTCCCTCATCGCACTACCAGGAACGATAGCTTCATTGCTAAAGATGATATTGATTTGTCTTCCCACGAGTCGTTGCCCCTGGAGACTCGAAATCCTTTTCCATTGTCTTGCTACTTCTCTAAAAATTTACTCTTTATGGTTGAAGGTGTATTGAAGCTGGAATTCAAAGCTACCCCTCTGGGAATTATTTATTCCCTGGACCTCTCCCATGTACATATGAAATAGACATGTTAATAAACATCTGCTTCGTTTTCTCTTATTTATTTATTTATTTATTTATTTATTTATTTAAAGACAGGGTTTCACCATGTTGGTCAGGCTGGTCTTGAACTCCTGACCTCAGGTGATCCACCCACCTTGGCCTCCCAAAGTGCTAGGATTACAGGCGTGAGCCACCGCGCCCAGCCGATTTTCTCTTTTAGTCTGTCTTGGGTTACAGGAATCTGTTCCAGCTAAGAACTTATGAGTGTTGAGAAAAAGATTACTTTCCTCCCATGCGTAGCCAAGGGCTGGTAACAACCCAAATACATCAATCAATAGAAGAATAAATAAATTATAGCATAGTTATATAGTTAAATACTATATTGCAATAACAATTTTTAAAATGATGGCTACCCAAACAATGTGGAATAATTTCACAGACATTATTATTGAGTAAAAGAAATCAAACAAATGGTTCCATTTATATAAAGTTCAATAATACGCAAATGAATTGGTTATAGAAATCAGAATCCTGGTTTCCCTTGGGTGGGATGATTATTGACTGGGAGGAAGAAGAACAAAGAAATCTCCTGTTCTCTATCTTGACCTGGGTGAGTGATTCCTTGGATGGATATTGTAAGAGAGGAAAAAATAATAATTATCCCTCTACCCTTCTAAGTTCTCAGCTAGGGCTCCTGTAACCCAAGACAGATTAATAAGAAAAAAACAGAAGTCGATTAATATGTACCTCTGAGGTGTATGTGGGAGACACCTGGACAATGAGTAATTCTCAAAGAAGTGGCTTAGAAGCCCCTGCCTGTATAGCCACCTTCAACAAAGAACAATACACTTTTAGAGAAATGACAAGATGAAGAAAAAAGACTTTGCACCTTGAGGGCCACCAAACTGGGTAGACGAATAAATGGGAAATGAATGATAGACTAGTCAGATTTTCTTTCCAGTCTATCATTGATGGGCATTTGGGTTGGTTCCAAGTCTTTGCTATTGTAAACAGTGCCTCAGTGAACATCCGTGTGCATGTGTCTTTGTAATAGAATGATTTAGAATCCTTTGGGAATATACCCAGTAATGGGATTGCTGGGTCAAATGGGATTTCTATTTCTAGATCCTTGAGGAATCGCCACACTGTCTTCCACACTGATCTGCACGTGTACCCCAGAACTTAAAGTATAATAATAAGAATAAAAAAAGAGACCAGTTAGTGAAGTTTGTTGTGCAACTTCCTCTGGCCCATAAGGGTCTAAAGTTGTTCTCAATGGTTAACCTTTATTCTCCTAAACAGAAAGACCTTTGTAAATTTAGATCCTGCCTTTAGGCGAATAGAGACAGGACAGAGAGCCTTCCTGCACCTGTTTCTTCTTAATTCCCTTCACCTCAAGAATCCCTATGCCAAAAACGCACATCTGGGAGTGGCGTAGTCTGTTTTCTCTCAGCAGTTAGGAACACATGGATTACAATGATTAAAGGATCATTTTCACCACATGAAACAGTAATTTACAAAGCCCCTTTGTACAGATTATATGCCCAAGAACATAATATGCATGATACTGTGATTTACAAGTATAATTATATATGTGTGTGCGCATGTGTGTGTGTGAGCGTGTGCCTGTGTGTGTGTGCGTGTGTGGTTCTCATCCCCATTTCTGGCACAGGGCTCCTAAAAACCTTGGAATTTCCTGAGTGATGAGAGCAATAAAAGTGAAAAGAGGCCGGGCGCGGTGGCTCAAGCCTGTAATCCCAGCACTTTGGGAGGCCGAGGCAGGTGGATCACGAGGTGAAGAGATCAAGACCATCCTGGTCAACATGGTGAAACCCCGTCTCTACTAAAAATACAAAAAATTAGCTAGGCATGGTGGCATGTGCCTGTAATCCCAGCTACTCAGGAGGCTGAGGCAGGAGGATTGCCTGAACCCAGGAGGCGGAGGTTGCAGTGAGCCGAAATCGCGCCATTGCACTCCAGCCTGGGTAACAGAGTGAAATTCTGTCTCAAAAAAAAAAAAAAAAAGAAAGTGGAGAACAGGTTGGTGTGGGGGAAAAGACTCGCACATTTTGGTGACCAGAAGACGTAAATTGGTGTGAGTATTGAGAGTAATAGTAGAGTTCAATCTCCTCTCTTTGCCTCTCTCACACACAGTTTCTTGCCTTTCTGCCTTCTGCCATGGGATGACACAGCAAGAAGGCCCTTGCCAGATGCCGGCACCCTGATATCGAACTTTCCAGCCTCCAGAACTGTGTGAAATAAGTATCTTTTATTAATAAATTCCCCAGTTTGTGGTATTCTGTTATAACAGCACAAAACAGACTAAAATAGAATAAAAGAATTCCCCAGTCCCTCTATCTACAAGGATTTTAGGAGCTCTATGTCAGGAACTGGGGCCAGGGACCAGTTTTTATATATATATATATAATTTGTATTATTTATTATTTTTATGATTTCATGAATCTCAAGAGAGGAAGCAGGGAGACCAGTTGGGAAGCTATTACAGTAGCTGGAGCAAGAGATGATGATAGCTTGGGACCAGGTTGGTAAGGGTGAAAACAGCAGCTAGAGTTGCAAGAATCCACAAGTTTTACCAGCACATGTGAGAGGTGAGAGAGTAGATTCAAGGATGACATCATGTTTGGGGCCTTAAACAACGGTTACAATGAAGGTCCCGTTTACCTCGGTGGGAAGGGTTGAAGGTTTTTTTGGCAGGATGTGTGTTTGTCATGGGGTGTGATAGAGTTCAGCGGGGAGGGGGTTAAGTTTGAGAAACCTGTTAGGCATCCCTTGCCTGCCCCGTGAGATGATGTTGAGTCTTTTTCTGGGAGCTGTCGGTGCAGAAAGCAGTTGAAGTCATGACTTGGATGAGAAACCCAGGGTAAGAGTAATAATAGCAGAGACAGAGGGCAGCCCAAGGACTGGGCTCTGAGCACTCCAACAGTGGGAGCTGAGCAAAGAGAGGAGGAAGAACACAGGAGCAGCTGGTGAAGCACCCAGAGAACTAACAGAGAATGGCATTTTGGAATCCAGGGTGAAACATTTGACTGTGATTGACAGTCTTTGTGTCTCCTTGTATTTTTCAACATTCTGAATCTTGCTTTCCATCTTTATCTTACAAAGATTCTGCTTAACTGCCGGTGACAATGGCTGGAATGGAAGAAAACATACCTTGATCTGGTGGAGATTTCTCTGCTTTTGTGGTGTTCAAAAACACGTCTCTGATCCTCCTCATATTCAGAATGGCAGGTGTTCTGGTGGGGGAGAGACACTGTACCACCTTTCTAGAGGAGAAAACAGGCCTTCTCATGAAGCGTGCCCTGCTGGCACTGTGATTTCTGACTTCCAGCCTCCAGAACCATGAGACACCAAATGTCTGTGATTTGCTGTTTGAGGCCACCTGGTTTGTGGTGCTTTCTGACCACAGCCCTGGGGAAGCCAGTATATTCCTTTATATTGCATCTCTTCCCTACATTTGGTATTTGGTCCAGCACTTACAGACGAAACGCTGTTTCTTAGATATGGCTTCTCCCTCAGCTTATCCTCCATTCCCCCGTCTTCTCCCCTTCTACTTTTTTTTTTTTTTTTTTTTTTGGCAGAGTTTTGCTCTTGTTGCCCAGGCTGGAGTACAATGGCACGATCTTGGCTCATGCAACCTCTGCCTCCCGTGTTAAAGCAATTCTCCCGCCTCAGCCTCCTGAATAGCTGAGATTACAGATGTGTGCCACAATGCCCGGTTAATTTTTTTGTATTAATGCTAGAGACGGGATTTCACCATGTTGGCCAGGCTAGTCTTGAACTCCTGACCTCAGGTGATCCACCTGCCCTGGCCTCCCAAAGTGCTGGGATTATAGGCATGAGCCACCACACCAGGCCTCCCTTTCCACTTCTAAAAAGTTAGAAAGAAATCCTCCCTTACATACTCTGAAGGGACACAATCCTTTTTTTTTTTTTTAATTATTTTTTTTTTGAGATGGAGTTTCACTCTTGTTTCCCAGGCTGAAGCGCAATGGTGAAATCTCGGCTCACTGCAACCTCTGCCTCCTGCGTTCAAGCAATTCTCCTGCCTCAGCCTCCCAAGTACCTGGGATTACAAGCACACGTTAACATACCCAGCTAATTTTTGTATTTTTAGTAGAGATGGGGTTTCATGAACCATGTTGGCCAGGCTGGTCTCAAATTCCTGACCTCAGGTGATCCACCCGCCTTGGCCTCCCACAGTGCTGGGATTATAGGCATGCGCCACCACACTCAGCATGGGACACAAATTCTTACAGCCTTTCGTTTTCTAATTGTTTAAATGAATACAAGTTTACGGTAGAAAATTTATAAATTATAAAATTCACCTGTATGCTCACCACACAGAAATAACAATTAGTGACATTTTATTTTACAAACAAAAAAATTTAGATGCATGCTGTTCATGTAGTTTGTGTGAATTCTTATCACTTACCATTGTGTAATAGTAGTCCCCCAGGCGATAGATAGAGGCCGTGTCTCATTTCATCATATGAATGTATCGTTACGCATTTAGTAACTGTCTCACTGTTGAACGTTTGGGCCGTTTTTAGTTATTTTAAAATTTTGGGTTTATAATTTTTGGCTAAAGTCCTTATGTAGATGTGTGTCTACGTGTTCGGTTATTTCTTTGGGGTAGGCTACGAGGAATAAGGACTGCATCAAAGACAAAAACATTCTCCCCACTCTGATATGCGAGGCTAGGTTTGGCTTGGGGGCTTGGTACCTTTAAGGGGTTACTTTTGCCAGACAGACATCTACCTGCTTTACACAGTGACCCTGTGAGATCGATGCTAAGATTATGCCCATTTTACAGATATGCAAACTGAGACATAGGGGAGCCAGTGTCACAGTAAGCGGGAGAGCCCAGGTGACTCCAGCCACTCTGAGTCTGGAGAAGTTGGTCCCCATCATGGCGCGTTTGCTCCCCAAGGGCATTGCTGATATGTGGAGACATTTCTGATGGTCTCAAAACCCCCACCCTCAACAGGAGGGGGTATTGTTGTTGCAATGTAGTGGGCAGAGCCCAGGGGGGCCTCCAAGCACCCTACAATGCACAGAACGGCCCCCATAACCAAGGGTCACCTGGTCCAACATGTCAAGGGTGATGGGGTGAGAGATCCTGATATGGATCCCCATTTTTTTTTTTTACCAGTGTCCCCTGATACCTCCCTCATTTTTTCACATTAGTCCTATGAGATGAAGGGCAAAGGTGACAGCAGGAAACTTGTCTGAGCAGGTCCCCTTTCCTCCCCTCTGACCTGCTCTCGGTGGCTGTGAGATGAGCGTTTTAATTGGGAGAGGATTTGAGACATTAATTTCATTTGAAAGCTTACAGGATACTGTACTGGTGACAAGCTTTCCTGACCTGCCTTCCCCCACAAAACCAACTTCTTCAGACACACAATCTAAGTAAGAAAAGTCTGCTTACTTTGAAAACACAGCTGCAAGATAATCTCCCTAATGCTTTTTTTTTTTTTTTTTTTTGAGACAAGGTCTCACACTGTTGCCCAGGCTGGAGCGCAGCGGTGTGATCACTGCTCACTGCAACCTTGACTTCCCGAGCTCAAGTGATCCTTTCCCGCAGCCCGCCAAGTAGCTGGGACTACTGGTATGCACCGCCACACCCAGCTAATATTTTGTTTTTTATAGAGACAGAGTCTCACTATGTTGCCCATGCTGGTCTCAAACTCTTGGGCTCAAGCAATCCACTTGCCTTGGCCTCCCAAAGTGCTGGGATTACAGGCATGAGCCACTGCGCCTGGCTTAATCTCCCTCATATGTATCACAAACTCCCTCACTCTCTTTCCTAAACGACTTCCCATAAATCTACAATCTAGAAAACATTGTAGGTTGGCTTTGCAGTTTCTAGACAACTCACACAGCACCTTTTCTCTTGTGAGAGGACACCCCTAAACCACTCATACTGAATTTCTAGGAAAACCCCTGCGGCCGATGTAGTCACCTGCTATCTAAGGGCCAGGCGACCTCTGCCTGAGCCCTCGGATCCCCAGCAGTGTGGGGGCAAATGCAGCTTGATTACTCACATCACAGGCTTTATCAGGTTTTGATTTAACTCCCAAATGGCTGTAAGGGAGAGAAACTGACCGCGTTTAACACAGGAGAAGCTGACCCTCAGACCCTCCCCAAGTTCTGGCTGGAATTTGAACCCCCAGCTGCCCTGACGGCAATTCTTTTTCCTGATCCTGGAGCCGACCCCTTGGACACTTCGCCCTTCGGGGACCACAGCAGCAGCCCCCTCCTCCCCCGACGTCTGCCTGCTATCTTACCTTCTCTCTCCGGAGCTCTCTCCTTGGTGGCCTCGGGTCCTGAGGGAGGGGAAGATCCCGAAACTTCGTCCTTGCCTCTCCGAGGTCCCCTGGTCTGGCAGGGGGCTGTGAGCCAGTGGGCTGCAGAAAGACAGAGAGGAAGAATAGGGTGGCTTCTGAACCAGAATTGACTGCAAAACTGCCTTCGGGTTAAGTGCTGCAGGAAAGAAAAAGCAAAAGCTCTGGGGCTCTTCCAGGAAATCTTGGCTTTTAAGAAACAGCTGGGCGCTTTCAGTTTCCTTTTAGCGTGTTTCTCTAATTAGATGCACAATGAGGTGAAAGAGCAGACTCAAAGTCAAGGACCGAGTCTCTGGTCTCTGTCCTGGCTGTGTCACCGCACGGACCTGTACGGGGTATGAAAACAGCTCCTGTGGCTTAGAGCTGCCGTGAGGAGCCCATCAGCGAGTGACGGGGTGCCGGAGCGATCGTCACCGATTCTTCTGAAACCGCTTTTCTCCATAGCATCTCACCTGATGCTGATGGAGATAACAACCCCATGAGGTGCACGGCGTTAAAGGGCTAATAACTCTGAAATGCAAAACCCTCTGAAAATGGAAACTTTAGTTTCTTTTTATGTATTTCTTTTTTCAAAGCGAAGTCTTGCTCCGTTGCCCAGGCTGGGGTGCAATAGCACGGTCCCAGCTCACTGCAACCTCCACCTCCTGGGTCCAAGCTATTCCTGTCTCAGCCTCCCTAGCAGCTGTGATTACAGGTGCCCACCAGGACGCCCAGCTGATTTTTATGCTTTTTAGTAGAGATGGGGTTTTTCCATGTTGGCCAGACTGACCTCGAATTCCTGACCTCAAGTGATCCACATGCCTAAGCCTTACAAAGTGCTGGGCTTACAGACGTGAGCCACCGCACCGGGCCTGAAAACGGAAACTTTTAAAAAACTAATTCATTCATTTAGTGGCAAAACCTGACCTGATGTGGCATGAATTCACATACGGTTTTTATGTCTCTTGCTTAATTTATGCATCATTACCCATTACCTTTCTAAAAATCCCCCAAATCAGGAACTCTGACATGCATCTGGCCCCAAGGATCACAGATTACAGGATTGTGCTATTCTAATGAAGAGGAAACCGAGGCTTCTAGAAGTTGTGGGTTGTTTGTGATTGCACAGCTAAGAACCGGTCCTAGATTCTGTGTTTGTAAGAATGAGCCCACAGTGTGGGTTACGGGTTGAGATCTGTGTGTCTTTCTAGCATTTGTGTCAAACTGTAATCAGAAACCACATGGTTTTCTTATATTGATATTCCCGGAAGTCCAGAGTCACCACTCCTACCTGAGGCCACATAGGGAGCTGTTGTTTTGCAGAAGGTATGGCTCACCTAGCCAGCCCTGGCTTTGTGGCGACAGAGGCCACCGCCTGTCACTGGACCCCACGAGCAGGAATGAGGGACGAAGGGCTGCTGAGCTGGGGCTCGTAGAGGCCTTTCCAACCCTGGTATCCCAGACACCACCACCCACCCCTGCTCCTGGCCTCCCACACTTGGGGAACTCTCTAAACAGACTCTGACCTTGAGGAAGGACGTGGCCGCCTGGCTGGGGCCGCTGAGCCATCCCAGGCCTGCCTGCTGTTTACCCTGGCAACGGACCCAGTTGTTGCTGTCACGGATCTGTCCTGGGAGTCTCAGGGGCCAGCCCAGCCATTGGACGAGGGGGAGTGTTTATCACCAGGGTTCTTGTGAAACATTCGCCCCAGGGAATGCCATGTGAGAAAAATGTTCTGTAGCCAAATGCAGGAAGTACTGCTTATGTAGAGTGGCAGAAAACACCCACCCTATAGCTCAGAGGAACAAAAGCCGGGAGTCGCTGCACTTCCTAGAGCTCACTTCCCTTCCATTAAGGGACCCAAGACCTGCTGGAAAGAAACAAACTTGCCTGCAGGTCCCTCAGTCTCTTGTGATTTAACACACACTCTTGGGCTGGGCACAGTGGCTCGTGCCTGTAATCCCAGCACTTTGGGAGGCTGAGATCAGGAGTTCGAGAGCCAGCCTGACCAACACAGGGAAACCCCCGTCTCTACTAAAATTACAAAAATTAGCCGGGTGTAGTGGTGGGTACCTGTAGTCCTAGCTGCTCAGGAGGCTAAGGCGGGAGAATCGTTTGAACCCAGGAGGCAGAGGTGGCAGTGAGCCAAGATTGTGCCACTGCACTCCAGCCTGGGTGACAGAGGGAGACCCCATCTCAAAACAAAAACAAAAACAAAACAAAAAAACACACTCTTGGGTAAAGTCTGTCATTTGGGGGGTGAATGTTCAGAAAATTCAAGTTTGAATTTTCTATCAGGGCTTTTTATGTTTTCTTAAAAGTTGCCTCCCATTGATGCTGAGGTGAGGCAAGATCGCACCACTGCTCTCCAGCCTGGGTGACAGCAAGACCCTGTCTCAAAAAGAAAAAAAAATTGCTTGACTTCTTAGATGGCATCTGGGCCTGGGGGCTTGTGCTGGCCCTCTGGAGTTCCACTGACTCACCCAGAGGGTCCTTTGTGGCCCTCCCAGCCCGCATGGCTGGCTCCCAGACGCCGGGTTCCGGTTTGCCTTGGCGCCTCTCTGGAGGAGCTTCAGGTTTTCTGTGCTGCAGTCACAACCGACCCACCCTAGGCTCAGGCTGTCCACCTCCCGGAAGGCTCACCAGGCCTCAGCCCAGTGGCCCCTGGCACAGGCAGGGACCGTCTGTCCTGGGAGACGGAGAAAGGCCTCGAAGCACACTTTGACCCTGAGATTCTTGGATTCCAGAAATTTCTTCTCTTCTCTCTGGCTACAGCATTTAAGGAGAGTGAGCAAACGCTGCCCCGAGAGTGCAATTTGCCAAACGTAGCAAAGGTTCCATCGTGGGCTTCGTTGCTTTGCCTGAAAGCAGTTTCAGGAACCTGGGAGCCCAGGCCAGAGCAGAGCGGGGAAGCAGCCATGATAAGCGGAGAGCAAAGCACTGAACTTGACCCCAGGACCAGCAAGGGCCAGGCCTGGCACGGCCACACTCTCGTGCTTGGCCCACAGCAACTCCTAACCTCACCTGCTTCCATTCCGTCTCCTTCCCGGGCGGGGTTCTTATGAGGAAGTTTTCTTTTGTTTTTCTTTTTCTTTTTTTGAGACAGTCTCACTGTGTCGCCCAGGCTGGAGTGCAGTGGTGCCGTCTTGGCTCACTGCAACCTCCTCCTCCTGGGTTCAAGTGATTCTCCTGCCTCAGTCTCCCAAGTAGCTGGGCTTACAGGCATGTACTAACACACCCAACTAATTTTTGTATTTTTAGTAGAGATGAGGTTTTGCCACGTTGGCCAGGCTGGTCTTCAACTCTTGACCTCAGGTGATCCACCCACCTCGGCCTCCCAAAGTGCTGGGAACACAGGCGTGAGCCACCGCACCCGGAGGAATGAGTTATCTTGGCAATGGTAAAGGTTGATGAACGTACCAGGTACTCTGGCCATCACTACCGTTTTTATATACACAGGACTCATCTTTCATGGGATATTTGAGAGACTCTTGAGGGGATGTCCCTTTCTTTCTACCCTGAATTAAAAATGAAGATGTCTGCCACCCTGGGTTGGAGGGATGGGAACTTCCATGTGTAGAATGTTATATGTGGAATGTGTGCTGGGGATATTTCACTCATGGTCTCATTTCATCCATATGCTTTTCTTTTCTCGAGACAGAGTCTTGCTCTGTCACCCAGGCTGGAGTGCAGTGGCAGTGGCATGATCTTGGCTCACTGCAACCTCAGCCTCCCAGGTTGAAGCAATTCTTCTGTCTTGGCCTCCCCAGTAGCTGGGACTACAGTGCACACCACTACAGCTAAGTCTTATTTTTTTATTAGAGGCGGGGTTTCACCATATTGGTCAAGACATAATTTTCATGAAACAAAACTTATACCCTTATTATATAATGATATGATGTATGATATTATATATGATATTATGTATGATATCATACATAATAAGGGTATAAGTATTGTTTCATGGAAATTATGTCCATATAATGACGCACATGCTTTGTGTGTGTGTGTGTGTGTGTGTGCATGTGCGTGTTCTGGATTGTACGGTGAAATGGGTCACAGATAGAATGTTTAAGAGCTGCTGGCCGGGCGCGGTGGCTCAAGCCTGTAATCCCAGCACTTTGGGAGGCCGAGGCGGGTGGATCACGAGGTCGAGAGATCGAGACCATCCTGGTCAACATGGTGAAACCCCGTCTCTACTAAAAATACAAAAAATTAGCTGGGCATGGTGGCACATGCCTGTAATCCTAGCTACTCAGGAGGCTGAGGCAGGAGAATTGCTTGAACCCAGGAGGCGGAGGTTGCGGTGAGCCGAGATCGCGCCATTGCACTCCAGCCCTGGGTAACAAGAGCGGAACTCCGTCTCAAAAAAAAAAAAAAAAAGAGCTGCTGACCTGCTCACAGAATCAAAGGAAAATCTACAGGGTTTCAGGCAGCTCCAGGTTCAGGGACCAGGACCCCCACTGTAGCTCGCTTGCTCTCTCTCTCTCTCTCTCTCTCTCTCTCTCTCTCCCAGCTTCATTCTGTTCCATTGCAGTGAACCTGCAGTGAACAGGCTTTTTCCATAACAGAGAGAAGAGAATTTCAAGTCTATTCCAGTTCATGTCCTTCTAGTTCCTGGAATGGAGATGCAAGCGCATTTTCCCCACTAGGTTATCCTGTGTCCCATGCCCCAGTGGTCTCCACGGCTGGAGGCATTTGGTTCTCTGATGCCCCAATCTGGGTTACATTCCCTCTCCCATAGCAAAAGCAATATTCTAGTAACCAGAAAGTCCTCACTGAGCCATGAGGTTGCAGGGAGGTAAAAAGGGGACCCAATAAATAGGGTGTTCTTCTGTACAAGTCAGCTGGCGAATGACCTCTCTGGGGGAAGAGGTGTCAGGTATTAAAGGGCTGGCTACCTCTGATGTGGCCCAGAGACCCCTGATAGTGTTTTGTGAAGAGGCATGTTCCCTGCAGCTGGTCCTCCAAGGTGGGGGCCTCTGGATGCCCTGAGGACCCTGGCTTAGCAGCCACTCTGCTCCAGCAAAAGAATCAATTTTTGGGATGTCCCATAACCTCTCTAGGCTTGGGCTGTCCCGTTCATGGCCCCACATCCCTCACAGAGAATGGGCCCCTTCTGACAGTTGCCCTCTGTGGCCATCAGGACTCTGTCTCTTCTGGGCTGCAGATGGTGTCATGTCCCCCAAAGGCTTTGTGTCTGCACACAGGGAACTGTTGGACATGCTCCAGAGCCTTGCTGTGGCCGAGGATGGAAGTCCACAGGCTACTGAGGAGCAGCAGACCTTGTTCTGTTGACCTGTGGCTATGGGCATGCTGCCTGCCCTGCAAGGGTGGGCATTTTGGCTCTAGCTGGCTGGCCAGGGAGCCCCTGTGACCTCATGATGCTCTGGAAGGGAGCATCATCCAGCAGGAGGAGCCTCAGCCTTCAAG